AGTAAAAAATCATCTCAGTATTTAGCAAATTGGCTATGAAAATTTTGACCGTTCGTGACCGAACCCATCCCTAGTTAAGATCCATGTATAAATCCACATTAAGCTGTCCAATATTTATTTTTTTCATATTTAACCATTGGTTCAAGTTCAATATAATTTTTTATTTTATAAGAATTATTAAATTAAAGTATTTTTGAAGTGGAGTAGGCAAATCAGACAAGTAAACAAATCGGTTTGCATTATTATTATTATTGTTGTTGTTGTTGTTGTTTTTTTTTTTATATAAAGAGAAATATGAATCGAAATGTGAAACGAAATATGGAGCGAATGTAAAACAAAGTATAAAGCAAATTATGAAACGAAATATAAAGCAAAGTACGAAGCGAAATATAAAACAAGTATAAAGCGAAATATAAAACAAATTGAAGCGAAATATGAAGCTAAATATAAAGCAAAGTATGAAACGAAATATAAAGCAAAGTATGAAGTAAATATAAAGCGAAATATAAAGCAAAGTATGAAGCGAAGTATGAAGCGAAATATGAGGGTAGTTTATTTAATTAATCGAAGATATCATTAATGATCGTTTGTATTGATTTCCGAACAATCACATGATTATCCGGAGCACAACCTGGTACACATTTTCGATTTGCTTTAAAATTTGATCCTCACGTTTTCTTTTTTGTTTTCATTTATGCGGCTTGAACATTCAATGCATATTTTAAATGTAGTATTTGGTTTTATATAATGTCGGTAAATAAATTTATGCTCCGGATTTACGTACCTGATCTTGGTGGCAATGCTAGGTGGGTCGAGGGAAAACCTATAAACTGATTCATTATTCCGGACGCGGCCCTTGAAGAATGCTATTAACATTACTCTTAACGTCATTTTTCTTTTAATAATCCGTTTAATGACCTATAGAAGCGACAAAACGATCAGTTATATACGCATTTGATCACATGTATCATTACGGGGCAGAAGAACAGATTAATGATTTCCTGATTGGTTCATTTTTCACGTTAAATACGAAAGTTATTCTCCTTAAAAATCCGAAAATAGATAATTCTTTTCTGTTACGATTTTAGATATATTTTATTTAGTTGTGATTTCCTCATCTTATGTTCATAATTCTAATTACATAAAATACATAAAAAAAATGCATAAAAACAAAAAACGACTTAAAATGCAATAACGTATGCATCATAAAAAGGAAAAATGACATAAAACATAAATTATTTGACAAACGCAGTCAGGGGCGATCTTCTAACGCCAGCGCTAGAAAAAAGTAAAATAACAAATTACGAGTAACAAAATAACGACAAATAACGAAATAGTGCCATTATCATTACGTTGAATTTGGCGCAGTAGCGAAAACGAAAAAATGTTAAACCAAAATGCAATGACCATTATCATAATGATCGAACGTATAAAAAGGTCGGAAATTTCAAGAATAACCATTAAACCAATTCAAGAAGTTTTGAAGATAATGCATTCATACTAATTCTTTCTTCCAGGACATCCCTCCATGCTTCAAAAAGTAAATAATAGTTAAGTAATTGTGAATATTAAAATTTGTAATCATGTCATCTAAAATATTAGGTTAAGACCTACCATGTTGAATAATATCTAAAAAGCTTTCATGAATGACTTTATTTTCCGAATCAAAAAAATTATCACAAATTTCTCGATTGCCTTTCGCAACATGAGTTATTACATCATTTGATTTCATATTTCTATAAGGAACCTTTTGGTAAGTTAATTCCCATATAAGCATTCCAAAACTGTAATAAAAAATTATCAAATATGACGAAGTATTTATAAATATGAATTAATTTAAGCTAAAATTTTGAAAAAAATAGCTAAACCAAAAATTACCTAAAAATTTTACCTTCTTGGCCATATGGAATTTGATTAAAATTCACCGATTCTTTCAATAGTTTACGCATTTTTTCGGGAGCCATCCAATTAATAACATCTATTGGCTGATTGTTTACTATGTTTGTTTCATTATGCAGTACAGCAAATTGAAAATTTGCGAGCTTTGGTGACATCTATACAATATCAAATGACTATATGCTAGTCATACAGTGCAAACAACCTAGTCCAAACCAATAAAAATTTTTAGCGGCCAAATTCAGATTTATTTTTTATATATATAAAGAGGCCAATTTGAAATTTTAGCTAATAAAGTGGCCAAATTTAAAATTTTAATATATATAAAGTGGCCAAATTTAAATTTTAATTTATATAAAGTGGCCAAATTTAAATTTTTAAGAGGCCAAATTTGCTTTTTTTATATATAAAAAAGGTGGCCAAATTTTATTTTTAATTATAAAAATACTATAACTTCAACTTGCTATAACTTTTTTATAAATAGATTTACAAAAAATTTAAAAACGTAGAAGTGTTTAGCTTGTTTTAATTTAGCATTTTACGATAGTATTTTTTTTTACTATTTTTTTAAAAAAGGATTAGCAATTTGAATTTCATCAATTATATTGGTTGGGACTAGGTTGTCCACACTGTACTCATTTTGTTATAGCATTGTCACGCTTTTGCCATTCTTTTGCTAGATAAGGGGTATAATAATTACTATACTCAGATCTATTTTGTTGCTGTGTTGGTGTAATAATATTATGTGATAATAGATATCACCTTAATGTTGAGACACCAGTTCCTTTTCCATATTTTGTATTGCATCTTTTACACTTCTGTTTTCTAGAATGAAGTTTATTAAAGTATTTCCATATAGTTGAGGATTCTTTTCATTTTTGTTGGAGCTATGAATCAACAATATCTTTATCTTCATCTAAATAGGTACTTGCTATTGTTTCATTTTCTTGATCTTCACAAATTTCATTATTATTTTCCTGATCAATTACAGAATCTGGAGAATTAATATCCATATTGGTTTTTTTGAATAAAGATAAGAAATTGATAAAAATGATATATGACTATTACAATTAAGAGATGAATGTGGTCAAAAAAAAAAATTATGGTTTTTGAATTGTAATCTTATTGTATAACAATTAAATCATAAATTTATTATGCAACTAAAAAATAAAAAATATTAAAATATAATTTAATTTCATCATTTTATATAATCAAATAATATTACTCTTTTTATTGAAAACATTGGGCTTTTATATACATTATTCATTATAATACAAATCAAATTACATAGCTCTTTTCATAATAAAGGCCAGTCTGAAATTAAAAATTAAAATAATATAAACATGAGCTGGAATTAAAAATTTTTTTATGACAATAAAACAGAAGCCAGATCTATTAAATTCTAGAAAATGTGGGCTAGACTTTTTGTAAATTTTAATTTGTGAACTGTGTATAGATAAATTAATATGCCAGTTTAACTAGCATAATTAATTTTTATAAGATCTCTTTGATTTGATAACAATTTTACAGATATTAGTCATTCATTTTCCTGAACTTACATTATACTGATGGTAATTTAGTTATTGTTATTGTATGTGTTGTAAAAAATAACTAAATTTGAATAGATTATATTATATAGCTAAAGGCCATGTAACCTATGCAAAATTTAGATATGTTATAACAATATAATAACTATTTTATTGCATAATATCTGATATACAATTCTGTGCTAATAAGTAAATAAAAAAAGCACAAGTTGTTATATAAGACCTGTAAAATAAAGGTTAATATTAGTGCTAATAGCCAGATATATTCAAAAAAATAAAAATTATCACATATGTGCAATACCTTTTGATTGTTTAATTTAATTAGTACAACTATAATATCAGTCGGTTTATAAAAACATGTTACTATAAATAGCAACAAATAATTAATGTGGGTAATTTTTTAGCAATAAAATTGCCAGTATGTTAGTATAGTTAATACCTTTTAAGAATATTATTTTAACTAGTGAATTTATAATAATGGCTGGTTTTTTAAAAAAAAATATTGATACAACCAATTGTTAGTTAATCTAGCTATCAGTATAACAAGAGTGATGTGTATTATAATTTTATAATAATTTTAGAATAAATGCATATCTCACACTCTGTGATGTGCTTATATATTGCACTTAAATATGATTGGTTAATTTTGCAGATCATTATTTTGTAAAAAAAACAATTTTTATTATTTTTTTTAGATTAAAGAAATCATATAGAAAAATCAAGAAAAATGTTACTATTTTTTATATTTATATACAAAATTTGATGCTAAACAAGTTTACTTAGAAACTTTTTTTTTTTTTTTTTTGTAAATTGCTTATACGCTGTAAATCTTTATTAGTTAATATGGAACATATTACAATTAGG